TCTGATCGTGGGTCGAGGCTCAGGGGCAGGGGCATCTTTCTTCAGTTTTCTCCGTTTAAGAGGAGCGGGTGGAGATTCGTCCTCGTCGTCACTCCCAGATTCGACCGTTAGTGCAGGACGTTTCTTGGGTGCAGGTTCCTGAAAACCAATTGGAGTTCGATTTAGAATGCCACATCGAAAATCAGGATGTTAAAACCAGAAGGAAATTATAAAAGTTTGGTTACCGGTGCTGAAGGTTTTGTCGAGGGACCTCCTCCCTGATGGCTTTCTGTGGTTTTTGCCGGTGCTGAAGGTTTTGTCGAGGGACCTCCTCCCTGATGGCCTTCTGTGGTTTTCTTTGCTGCAGGCTTTCGAACAACTGAAAGAAGACGCGTTCACAAGTTATAATTAATAAGTTACAAGTCGAAATGGAAAGACAAATATAATTTGGAGAGTGAACGTACATTTCTTTATTTTGTCAAGGACTAGAACGAAGGACTTCTGGAGTTCGTCCACAAAATCTTTTTCGTCGAAGAACTCTTCAGCATAATAACTCTTCCACCAGTCTTCGAAAGATGGTGAACAGAGGAAGTTAAGTTGATAGTCGAACAATGAAAGTACTGTTCGACCAGCGTACCTGCCAATATGCTTGGTGGCAGCATCCTCAGTATAATCATTGCAAAAATATAACATTGATTTCTCCCTAGGAAAAATGGGAGAAGGAAGTGATTGGATGATACCAAACTATCGAGAGACCAAGTTTGGCTGATAAGCGATCAAGCTCAGGTGATTCTTGGAACTCTTAAAGCCCAATGGCATTATTATGGGTGTGAGAAATGCTTCCCACATTATTGTGTGTTCTTCGAGATGAGGGTCACCTGACGACTTGGGATGGGGCCTGGTGAACCATTCTGGACCAAACTTTCGACGGGCGAAAGGAGCCATGGTCGAGGTGAATTCTTTTCTTCTTGAAAACATCAAAACGAAGTTTGCAAAAGTCTGTTGGAGTTCCAGCCCATCCTCAGTGGAGTCAGTAACGCCAGTCTGGTGCCTTCGATACGCCTTTTGGCTATCTCAGGAGCTTGTTCATTTATTTGAGTTTTCTGAGGTAAGAAAGACTCAAAAGTGGCATTTAGCCATAGTTGAAGTAGCCAGAAGGGTCCTGCAAGCAACAAACTGGCTCTATTTTCGATGACCTTTAACAGAGTCGCTCCACTGTTGATCGACTCATACAGGTTCGCCAGGATTAATTCGGCCAAACAAATGTTTTTACCATGGTGAAGCTGGGTAGCAAGGGTGACCATTTTCTTCGTCACCTGTAGAGACTTCGTGCAGAACACGAAGCGTGACAGCCAAAGGTCTAGAAACGCAATGTGTTCCACGTCCGTCACATTAGCTTTTGACCTGTCATGGTAGTGGTTGATGTAGGTGGTGTAAGTGGGTTTGGTAGCTGAAAACCCAATCTGGTCTTCCGATATTTCCTCTGGGTCGAAATAATCCCCAGTTGGTCAAAGACCGGTGATGGCAGCCACGTCGAAGAGAGTGGGTGTTATCATTCAACAAGGCAGGTGGAAAGTGAAGTGAGTATAATCCCAGAAAAGCAAAGAGGCTACCAACATTTCAGGGGAGTAGTTGAGACCAGTCTTCGACAGCATGACTAGGTCATAAATCCCCAGGTTCTTCCAAATCGAAGCTTGTCTTTTTTCCATCTTCTCTAGCCAAGCGCTGTAGTCTGGTGTAAGGCTAGGGCTAGACCTAAAAGCCCTAACACCTCTATTGAAGAAACGAAGATCTATCTTTTCCTTAGCAGGATCTTCGTTGTCATCTGCAGCCTTTTTGGAGCACCCAACAGGTTTGAGTGCCTCAAGCACCGGGAAGAAGTTCTTGATCTTCGTGGATTCATCAATGCATGTGGATAACGGGCCAGACATGGCAAAAATCTGGTTGGAGTATCCAACCGGAATCAGTAGTTGAGAAGAATAAACTTCACGCTCAACAGTTCCCAGGGGTTCAGGAACCCTTCGCATGCCTTTAGAGTTAACTGTTGGAACAGTTGAGAAGATTTTTGGTTGGGCAGTTCTAGAAGGAATGTTAGAACTGGGAGCATTAGAAGAACCTGAAGCCATTTTTGGGTTAAGATGAAGGTGAGTGAAGAACAAAGTGTTTGCAGGTGTTTGCAGAGATTTTTGTGTTCAATAATAAGGCTTGGATGCAGAATGGCGTGAAAAAGTCCCACAAGGGGTACCTAGCGCTATTTATAGTGGTTGGGAAATCACAAAATTCGAGGCCATTTAATGTTGCAGATGATAGTGGGGCATGTGGCGCTCCTTCGCTGACATAGCCGTTCTGCAGAAAGGAAACGATGCAGCGTGCACCCTCGTTTTTGGGAAATTGTCATGATGACAATCTGTGAAAAGACATTGGGCACGCTAAACGCCTTACTGAGGTGACGTCTTAGGTACAGGTGGAATGATGGCTTTTTTCTTGGGATTGTCAGTTGGTTGGTAGAAGACGAAAAGCGCACAGGTTAATCTGTGGCTAAGAATGAAGGACAGGTGTCGAGTGGAATCTCAAAGAATGCCTTTTTCTTTTCAGCGTCGAAATAAGGCATTCTTGGGGGGCAATTTGTTGGTTCCTAAATTCGACACCCTTGTTTTTATTAATATAAACCATTAATCATGAGGGATGGTTTCGACCAGCTGATTCTGTCGAAATGCTCATCAGAAGGTGGCAAGGTACTTAGAGAATTTCTTCTAAGTAGGAATCTTGTTGCCTTCGACGTCGAAGGAGTTTCTCGACAAAGGCATTTAATGCTCAGAGTGGAACGGTTTGAGATTCGAATGTTTGGAGGGAAAACGGTTCCCAGCAGTTACCAAGTGCTACGTGCCAAGATCAGGAGCGTCGAATGCTGTGAGCATGCCAAGTGGAGTCATCTCGAAGCAGCGTAACTGCCCGACGGTTACTTGAGATGTGTTTAGTATAAATACTAGTTGTTCACGTAGTTTTCACGTGTGTTCACAATTATATACAAGTTACTCATTTAGATTCAAGTACCCAGTGTGAGCGAAAGAATTGTTGAGAATGTATGTGTGAAACACCATTTAAATTAATCAAAGTCTTTTACATTCCAACACTTTATTGCCTTTTCATTTATCCTTCCCTGTCGAAGCCTTTATTTAACGCTTTCTTTTATTCTACCAAGTTTTCCTTCATGCAATTTACATAAAGTGTCTTTACTTTACTAGCACTAACCATCATTAGAACTTAGTCAAACCCCAAAAATCAACCATGTCTTAGGATCAATCTGATCGATCCTGCGAGTCACCAAATAAGTAACTTTTTGGAAGATCAGCGGTTATTTACCAATTTCCACGGTAAACAGTACTTGAGGGGATTCAGGGATCCTTTCTGTAAAGAGTAACCCTCAGAGGAAGAGTCCATTCTTCATGTTCTTCGAGAATGCACAATTGTCAAACCCTTATGGATGAATCTGGTTGATGATATGCATCATTAGGATTTTTTCAATGCTACTTGTGACAACTGGATTGAAATGAATATGTCTCGTAATTTGAACAGAGAGAAAGCAAATAATGATTGGACTGATATTTGGGCAATGACTAGCCACACTTTAAGAATAAGATGCATTCGAATTCGGTCATGATTAATAGAATAAGGAAGGAGATTCAGAGCATGATGGTGATTAAGTGGAAAAAGATCTTTCGCGAGGCCAGCGTGTATACAGATGAAATGGCTAAGCTGAAATTTGAGACTAACAGGAACAATGTTAATGTAATTAGTCCGCATAAGCATTTTTTTCTGTTTGTCCTCAAACCATCCATGAGGCTTTTGAGGAGAATCTTTGTGGAAAAACCTTTAAAAAAATTATAGTTGGTTAGTATTCTCTTGAACTTTTTAACCCTCCATTTCCCCGGAAAAAAAATACGAGTTCATAAAAATTAAAATTATATATGACACTCATATTAGATATTGTAATACCCCAAATTTGTCCTACCCTTTTACTTTTATTTGGTTTACGCATTGTCGCACTTTTCGCATGTACATACTTCCATTAGGTCATCTAACACATCATGCATCATTGATTGATAAATTGGCATAAGATCATGGATTTCGAGGAATAAGGGTTGGTGTATGGCTTTAAGGCTCCCATCTTCGCACAAGCTTATTTCGGTTGATTTCTCCATTAATAATTTGTTTGAAGCTAGGTTTTCATTTCATGGACCTTATCATCATCAAGTTACGATGCTATTCTTTTCTTCTCAATCTCAAGTTGTAAGGTTTTATGAGACGAAGCTAAAAATCAGGGTTTATACATTTTCATATTTGAGCTTGTCAGCATTCTACCTGAGGTTCATTCCATATCAAGGTATTCGCATGTCTCATCTTTCATATTCATCTGCAAAGAATCCCTCAGGGCATAGTCATTATCATCTATTGAGGAGGGGTCCAAGACGTCGTTGTTCTAGTGCTCATATAGTCGGGACATGGTACAAGATGTTGATTGTGATCAAGGTGTCATTATTTCAAATGCTTATTGCTTGACATGCAAATTTGGTTTAGACCGGAAAATTGAATTGAATTAGGGACTCACTGAAGCTATAGTTTGATTAGAATTCATTCATTAATATTTGAAGTGGATTTGGAGAAAATCAAAGTTCTTAAATATTTGCGTGGTTTTTCTTGGAATTCAAACCACAAGTATGAAAAAGCATGCAGCATAATTCTATATGACATCATTATTCACTTGAAACCAACTCTCGGTGACAGAAAGGCAATGCTTCACGCAATTGTCCTATCCTTGTATCCCCTTCATTGGTTCTTCACTTTTCTTTATTATACAGATGTTGCATCCGTTACTGCTGTGCTGGCCATGTATCTTGCAAGTTTGGAAAAGAATTACTGGTTAAGTGCATTGGTAAGGTTGGAGCCTTTGCAGTTGTTGTTCGACAAACAAATATTATATGGGTGCTTTTTTGCATTAGTATAATAGATATTTCTCTAATTCATGGAAAAGGCAATGTAAGAACAATCAAGTCAGATGTATCAGTTGAGCATGATTTCACATATGTTACTGGTAGAAGCGCAAAGGGTTTAAATCTTAAAAGGAGAAAGTCTGTCAAAACCATATCATAACCAAATACCCAACACCATTTACAACATCCAAAAATATACTACAAAAAACAAGAAATACAATTAAAAGTGCATATATTGATTCTCATCATCGCTTTTTGTGTGGCCTCGTCGTGTTTGAAATGCAACCTTGTTGCTTCCATCTTCATTATCTTCTTCATGACCAAACCGGTGTATTGTAACTTGCCATGGTCTATGCCTCTTTTTCCAAAGCAATCCTGAACATTTACACAACAAAAAGAAACAGTTATTATCAATTCCAAAACAGCCCTGCACATAACAAACTCTAACAACCCCTAACCAAAATTCCAGCCAACTAACTTCTAACAAAAAAGGAAACTAATAACTGACTTCAAACTAACTTTTACAGAGTTGTATATAACAAAATAGAAACAGACCCATAGCATGATTTATCTCCACCATTAGATCCCTAACATCTAACTGACCTCCTAATTATTCTAACAGCTTCCTAACCAAATTCATAAACCAACTACCCATAACTAACTCAACAAACTTCAAGCAGAATACAACTGACTTGCAACAGAAAATAACATAACAAACTTCTAACTTTTCCCTAACTTCTAACTATAACCAACTTTTTTTCCCACCTCCTAACCACCTAACAGAATTTTTAACCTCAAAAACAAACTTCCAGCATAACATAAGGGGAGGCGGAACATTATATAGATACGATTTCAACAGAAAAAAAGGGGGGATTACCTCTCAATTTCCCAGAAGAATCACCTCCATCATCAAAGCCTGAATCGACTTCACCATCTTCAAAGCCTGAATCAACTTCACCATCTTCAAAGCCTGAGTCACCGCTATCGTCAAAGCCTGAATCATCTTCACGATCATCAAAGCCGGAATCATCTTCACGATCATCAAAGCCTGAATCACCGGAATCATCAAAGCTGATCGACATTCCTCAAAGGATACTACGAGATTCCCAACTGGTATCATCACCATCAAAGTTTGGATCACCGCGATCATCAAAGCCTGAATCTCCTTCAAACATTCCTCAAAGAATACAACGAGACTTCAACCTGGACTCACCATCAAAGCATGGATCGCCACAATCATCGAAGCACAGATCAACACAACACATCGCTCTATAAACCTTCACGCCCAAGATTGAAACACAAAAATAGAGCGAATAATCGAAATAAAAGAAGAATGAGGAGAAGAATGAACGAGAAGAAAACGAAAACATCAAGAATCTGAGAAGAACCATACCTGAGCACCTTAGCATTATTCTCTGGTTTTCCCGCATCATCACCGCCATTGAAGATACGTTAGACGGACTCCGACCGAGCAAGATGGAGGTCTAAGCCGGACGAAGAGAAATCGCGGCGGCGTTATGTTCCAATTGGAGAAGAAGAGGCCGCGCCGGATCGGAAGCTGAGGTTGAGAGCTGAGCACGGCGGATGAAGAAACAGAAGCGGAGGAGGCTGTGTCTGTCGGCGCCGTTCGTGTTGTTCTGCGGAGAAGAAGAGAACGACTTTTCTCTCTCAAACCCTATTCCCTTTTCAATTTTCATATACTTTTTTTTATTTGTTTTAACTGTTTTATTATTTTATATTCTTATTTCATATTAATAATAATAATAATTAAGTAAACAATAAATAAAAATGTTGAAAAAAATGCTTATTGGATCCTGGCTGTTTTGGCCTTTATGCCATTCTTCTACAGCACCCCATGAATTCAGCTCACACCCCCTTACTCTTCTAAATTTTTTTTTCTTTTATTATTTTAGTTTTTTCTTTTAGTTTAATTTTTTTTCCTCACAATTGACAAAAAATTAATAGAATATTTTAGAATAGAATTTCTTTTAGAATTCCGATTAGAATTTTTTTTCTATTTTATTTTTCATATTCGATAATCATTTTTATTGCCATTTTCTAGTCAAGACTTTTTGTAGCGTCAACATAACTCTTGCAATGTGGAATGCTCGGGGTGAATTCTTCAATCACTTGCCCAAGGGAACTTTGGTAGAATTTTCTTATCACTTGCGTAGCGTCGAATGGGCAACGGACCTTCTCCGTTCGGTATCGTCACAAATCTATTTTATTCTTCATCTTCGTACTTTATCGCAATCCATATGCATGCTAACATTATGTAGAATTCCCTCATTCATTCTAACTTTAGGTCTAACCACGCACGATAACATTAGGTTTAGAAGTAAGCTAGTCTCATTTGACTTTTCTTTCTCTTTGAACATACGCACCTAAAACTAAAACTTCTTTTCTTTCAAAATTCAAAACACTTTAAAACTATTGATGAGAAACATGCTTTTGCTTAGTACGAGAAACGATAAGCGGGTCTCTTCTCGATCTTATTGTTCTTCATCTCAAGCATAGACGTGGTTCAATTCTCAAAAAACTCCTTTCATGACTAAGTAGAAAAATGGCTAATATCTCTCTCTTGAGGTCAATCAGTCATCATCTACAACAAAAATATAAACCAACTCAAATATTTTGTGCGCTCGAGCACCTTTTCTTTTAAACCCTTTTCAGCTAAGGACATGATTAATTTACTTCTGTGCCAACGCATAAGTCTCCAAAGGTCGAGCTGCGGCAGAAGGCGGAATTAACTTCGTCCATAAAAAAAAACACAAAACAAACAAAACATGTGAGCCGAACTACGGTAGCTCTGATTGCTTAAAAAGGATACGTAGGCACTGGGGTAGGGCCCAGGCGAGCATAATTTTATTTTCCCTACATCCTTTTTCTCCTTTCTTTTGCATGCATTTCCCCTTTGCAATAGTAGACAGTAAGCATAGATTAAACACACCCATAAGACAGATAACAAGAGTGGATACCGTAGAGTACTACGGGCGTGTGGGGTGCTAATACCTTCCCCTCGCGTAACAGACTCCCTTACCCGATCTCTCGGTCGCAAGACCGTGACTTCTCCCTCATCAGGTTTTCTCGATGTTTACCTTTCCCTACATGTGGGATAAAAGACGTTCGATGGCGACTTCATTGTTTTGATGATTTTCAGCCGGTTGTTTCAGCTGGCGACTTCACTGGGGATAGGTCGACCAAATGCTGGTCCATCCCGGAGTCTCTCCTAGCTCTTGTTTTCTTTCCTTAGGGTGTTTATTTTTATGCTTTCAGTTTACTCATTTGTACATGTTTGCATTGCATTTTATGGCATTCCATATTTGTTATCTATTGTGCTGGACTCTGTTCTCTATGTTGGGTGGGGATGTCACTATTGAGGTAAAAGGCCCAGTACCCAGGCCAGAGTGCACTAGGACACATAAGAATAGAGTGGGGGCATGACGGCTATAGGACGTGGTCCGATTAGTGCAGTCATGTCATATACCACGCTCGGATGAGGTTCAAATGAATTACTATCGGCACCCACGTCTGTGGGCAAGCCCATAGCACTTTCAGGAGAACCCGTGATTTTCGAGTTACCATTATCTTACCCTGACCTAGTTTTCACCCGTGAGTGGGAAGGGAATTTTTGTCACAGGTACAGATGGTGACTGTGTTCAGATGGTTATGCAGGTACAAATGGTGACTATGCTTAGACAATGACTACTGATTCTAATGGCTATATTCTAGATTTCTGTTAAGACTTTATGCAGATGCTATATCTTGTGGTGACCGTATGGTTCTCAGATTTATTTTTTGAGATCCTGACTTGTTTACCTGGAGGTTCATTCAATCCTTCAATCTTGGTATTCCCAGAATGTTCAAAAATTCTCAATAGTATCCAATGTTCCAGAAGCCTTGATCCCGGATAATGGGAGATCCATAGGGTACTTGGTTCTTATATATGCAGAAGTTATGTCGGACCTCTGATCTGATGATACTCACATGATCCAGAGCAGTGCAGCAACCTTATTCAGGAATGATGGAACCATGATCCTCTTTGGTCTCATGCCTTTGCATACATAACATGGCTAACTGCATGCTTAACATACATGTTCTGTTATTTTCAAGGAATCATATTTGCAAGTCTTGTGCCAAAATTCTTCCATCCCTTACTTGCGCAAAAACAAAATCAAAGCACGCAAATTCCTTGGAAATGGCAAAACATGACATGGCATTCATTCATACACTCTATGTATATTCATGCATTCATTACATGTATCCGAAGATTGGGGATTCTTATTCAAACCCGGGGTTCTCTTCAAAGGCTCAACTTGGTTTCTCACCGCACGTGTTCAGGGAGCAGCTATGGAATAACTCTGAGTGGTACATGCAAGCTTTGGCTCATAGTTAGAAACTTCTTCAGGCAGGAAGATAATGGATTAAAGAGTCAGATAAGCCAGGTCATGGAAACTCTGATAATGATGTCTATCATTTCTTTAAAAACATGATGTGCTTGGTAATGCATATTATACTGGGGCACTTGGCCAATCGATTGAAGATGGTATGTCATCCAGAGACCAAGTCCAAGACTGGATCAATTCAGAGACTACTGTGTTCACATCAGATCTGAAGGGGAATTCTCTCGCACACTCGAGCATCAAGACTACAGAAAGTCATCAGAATCAGCAAGTCCATACGGAGTCAAGTCTCCTCAACAGTGGCAATCATTGGTTTCTTTAATGCATTTTCATTTGCATTCTTGCTTGTTTGTTTAAACATCGCTTGTATATAGAAACTTGTCTATTTTTGAACGAAAATCTTAATGCAATAAATATGCTTGTCTTGAAGTGATCATTTCATTTCTACTCATCCATTTGTTATCACTCTCCAAATGTTTTACTTGCATATTGATGCCAGATTTTCTAGTCTTATGCTTAGGTAAAGATTCAAAGGAGGATGACGATAATCCTAAAACGCAAAATCTCCGATTGGTACGCTTTTGAGTAAGACCCTGCTGACGATGTACAGGCCTTGTTTCAATCCCCAAACACAGGAGATATAAGGGAGATAGACCCTCGTCAACCCCTCTGAGCCTTCGAAGTAGGAGTTTTCTTTCTATTAAAAAAAACCCTCATTTCAACCCTGGGGTGGGTAGTGTTCAGCTAATCTGATCAAGCATTCAGAACTCATCAAGAGTGTGCATCCAGGGATACAACAATGGTTATCCATCAAAAGGTTGAGGGAAGTCAAAACCACAATGGTTAACCTTCATCTATCAGCAACGTGCATCAATTAACAATATCCCAATGGATATCTCTCACACATCAGGAGGTCGACAGATGACAATACAACAATGACTACCCATCATCTATCAAAGACTCAAGCAGTCACGAACACTTCAGACAAATCAAAAACAACGCAAATATCAACGACTTGTTCAGAATGAAAAAAAATACGAATAAGAAAGAAACAAATATCCCCGCCAAGTCGAAACTTGAAAACAAGTCGCTTGGGCAAAAATTGGGGCATCCCGTTGGACTTCCAAATCAAAATTCAAAAGAATTTGTCCAGGCAAAAATTAGGGAAAACAAGAAAGAAATTGAAAAGCCTAAAAGGCAAGAAAAGGATTACCAATGAAAATCCTCATCAAAGAACAAAGTCGTCTGATCAGACACCAAAGGCAAAGAAGTTAGTGACTGTCGTGTCCAAGAAACCACTGTGGTTCCTCAATTATTGCAAACTCTTCTCGAGAGATGAACGCTTGTATCGGGTCAACTGAACGTAGGAATGGAGAACATCATGGAGAATGGGTGGGAACCAAATAATTTTGAGCCTTAAATCCTTTTTCTAAAAACCGTGAACCAGGCCACGTTACAACCCTTTCAAAGTCCTAATTGAAGCATGGGTCAATTCGAAAGCGTGCTACAACGAGATAGCGTTTAACTAACTCCTAAGAGGTACGTCTCAATATCTGTTTTGGCATCATATGCTTGCATTATCTTTCATAAAAAAAAATTGCAAATGTTTCTCCCTAGCTAGTGACTCGTTCACAACAGAGTTGTGGCGTCATTTCATTCAAAGTTTTTCAAACTTCAAGACTTACATATGTGTTGCATTAGAATTATCATTCTCATAATAAACATTCTTCTGCATACAAAACAAATGATTGACATCAAGTAAGTTTGCACAATGAACAACCGGTAAAGAGCTCAATCTTGTCAGAGAAGAGAGGCTTGAATACCCTGTTGAAGCAAGAGTCAGCTGCTACAAGAGAAATGACTAATCCAGAGGCATGTTAAACTAGAGATTCTGTCAAGAGAAATCATCTTGGTGCTTCACAGTCTGAGGGCCATTCAGGGATGAAGTTAGCAGAGCCTGTCAATCTAGGGCAATCAAGTCGTGAGTCGATCTCTCCAAGTTCATCCAAATCTGGGGCATTCCCTCAAAGTTGTCAATCAGAGGCAATCAAGTCAAGGGTCAATCTCTTCAAATCGTCAATCAGAGGCTATCACGTCGATAAATATCTTCAAGTCGTCAATCAGAGGCTATCACGTCGATAAATCTCTTCAAGCTCAATCAATCAGTGGTTATCACATTGAGGAATCTATTCAGAATTCAGTCAACCTGGGGCAGTTACGTTGAGATTCGACAAACCTCTCCAAGAGAGCTGTAATCAAGAGCAGTTTATTTCGTGACTCAAGACATTGGGGCA